GGTTTTGATTTGCATTTCTCTAATGATTAGTGATGTTGAGCATCCTTTCATATGTTTGTTTGCAATCTGTGTATCTTCTTGGGAGAAATGTCTGTTTAGGTCTTCTGCCCATTTTTGGATTGGGTAGTTTGTTTTATTGATATTGAGCTGCATGAGCTGCATGTATATTTTGGAGATTAATCCTTTGTCCGTTGCTTCGTTTGCAAATATTTTCTCCCATTCTGAGGGTTGGCTTTTCATCTCGTTTATGGTTTCCTTTGCTGTGCAAAAGCTTTTAAGTTTCATTAGGTCTCATTTATTTTTGTTTTTATTTCCATTTTTCTAGGAGGTGGGTCAAAAAGGATCTTGCCATGATTTATGTCATAGAGCGTTCTGCCTATGTTTCCCTCTAAGAGTTTTATAGTGTCTGGCCTTACATTTAGGTCTTTAATCCATTTTGAGTTTATTCTTGTATATGGTGTTAGGGAGTGTTCTAATTTCACTTTTACATGTAGCTGTCCAGTTTTCCCAGCACCACTTATTGCAGAGACTGTCTTTTCTCCACTGTATATTCTTGCCTCCTTTATCAAAGATAAGGTGACCATATGTGCGTGGGTTTATCTCTGGGCTTTCTTCCTGTTCCATTGATCTAAACTTTTTTTTTTAATTGAAGTAAAGTTGATTTACAATGTTGTGTTAGTTTCAGGTGTTCAGCAAAGTGATTCAGAATATATATATATATACACATATATATATATTTTCTCTTTTAGATTCTTTTCCATTATAGGTTATTTTAAGATACTAAATATAGTTCCCTGTGCTATACAGTAGATCCCTGTTGTCTGTTTTATATATGGTAGTGTGTATATGTTAATCCCAAACTCCTAATTTATCCCTTTCCCCCTTTCCCCTTTGGTAACCGTAAGTTTGTTTTCTATGTCTGTGAGACCATTTCTGTTTTGTAAATAAGTTCCTTTGCGTCATGTCGTATCCTAGGTTCCATCCAGATTAATTTCCCAGGGTCAGATATTTAACAAGTGGCAGAGCTGAGACTCAAATCCAGTCTAATACAAAAATGAGAGTTTTTTCTTTTTTTAAAATTTATTTTTGGCTGCATTGGGTCTTTGTTGCCACTCCGGGGCTTTCTCTAGTTGAGGTGAGTGGGGGCTACTCTTCGTTGTGATGCGCAGGCTTCTCATTGTGGTGGCTTCTCTTGTTGCAGAGCACAGGCTTTAGGGCACACGGGCTTCAGTAGTTGTGGCACACAGGCTCAGTAGTTGTGGCTCACGGGCTCTAGAGCACAGGCTCAGTAGCTGGGGCACATGGGCTTAGTTGCTCTGCGGCATGTGGGATCTTCCCAGACCAGGGCTCGAACCCTTGTCTCCTGCATTGGCAGGCGGATTCTTAACCCCTGAGCCACCAGGGAAATCCCCAAAATCAGTGTTGTTAATCACTAATCTGTACTACTTACAACATGCTCTGAAATACATCAAACTCTTTATATTGGTACATTTTCCTTTCCTAAAAAGTAAGCAGAGTTTTATAGTAATGCCTGATCAGAAGAAACCAGTGTGGTTTTCAGGTAGAAATAAGCTTATATAATTTTGAAATGTCTTTCAACCAGCAATAATATTGATTTTTTAACAGAAAAAAAGTTATATCTGTATTATTTAAGATGTTTTTTAAAGCTTATTAGGGTGAAATTGTTTTATTTCTAAGAGAAAAATAACTTATTGGTAGTACATGTACCAAGACCCTATGTATCAGGCCTTTGTTAATGCTGATTATTTTAAGAGAACACTGACCTTTTTTTAAGTGCTGACACATATAAGGAATCATTCGATTTAGAAAAAGGATAATAGTAGTACTCTAAGCAAGATGCTTTCTTCACATGATGCAGCTACTCATTTTTTTAGTTTTTCTTTTTGACAGTAACTGTAATAATTTTACCCAGTTGCATTATCTTTTGTTACGCAAGAGGAATTTTTTCTTTTGTTTAGTGATTTAAAAAAAATTTAAATTTATAAAGAACTGGATAAAAAGATGGTGGTTTGGTGGTAATCACTTGTGACTTCCTTTACATGAATGTCTTTGAGTTTTCTCTTTTCCTTAAACAAAACAAGATATATATATAGAGCCATATATATATGGCTCTCTATATAGAGCCATCTCAGATTATCATAATTTGGAGAAATGTTTATAGCAACGCAGTTGAATTGTCTCTTCAATAGATGATACGGTGTGTTTTTTTAATTCTATTTGTGGCATGAGGAACGTTAAATAGAAACATCTCCGTATGTGAGACAGTAGTTTTAAATGGAAAACTTCAAGATCTAATTATGAAAATATGTGATTATGCTACGATTGTTTGACAAGTCAAAATGAATTGTTGCCATAGGATAGTTTTAATTTTTTTAAAGCAATATTAAGGTTAGCAGGAAATTGCTTGAGGAAAGGTTGTTCGTTGGCAACCTTCCCCAACTCCCTTCAACAGCTCCTTTTGCCATTCCCTATTAAGGAAAGTTGCCCTTATATAAAGAGAAATTCTCTTTTAAAAAATGACTATGTTACAGTTAAGGACTACTTATTTCAGAAAAAATCAAGCAGGAAAGCCTGGTCCATCACTAGCAAACAGTCTCCAAAGCCAGTCCAACATTTTAATTTGCTGATGGCATGGATTCCTTGACATGTTGAATAGCAGGTGTTCCAAGCCTTAACCCCTCTTAAGGCAAAACTTTCTAATATTTACTTCATTTTTGGCATTCCACTGGAGGTGAAGTATAGCAGCTGTTTAAAGAATGTGTGTGTAAATGTGTATATATGTGTTTGGAAACAAAGAGCCACACTGAAATTACAAAGTGATTAAAATAGAATTTAGAAACCCAAGTTGGAATTTGGCTGAATTCACGAGGGATTACGATTCTCCCTGCACTTTGACAGTGCACTCTTTACCAAGGTGCGGATGCTCACAGTTGGCCACTGATGCATAGATCCACCACGTGGGAAACAGAGGAAAGAGTATTATCCCAAATGTTTACATAGTGTTAAATAAAAACTACTAAGGTAAGAAGGTCAGTGCTTTACGTAGATAGTAAACTATGCATATTATTTTATTTGTAACCCCATGTGTTAAGATGGGACACTATTAAAGCAACAATCACTTAAAAAGCAACAACCAACAAACCAGTATTTAATTTGGTACTTAAAATTAATAATTAAAACCAAATGGAAGCAATGCCTAAAGTAACTAAGATAATTCACAGTAAAAACCATTAGTGCAGGCTCTACTTATTGTAAATGTGATAATTCAACATAGGCTAACCTAAAATGTACCTTTAGAGATTGAATAAGGATATAAGCAAAATATTAAATAAGATTTCAGGAAGCCCCTAAAATTATTTTTAAGAACTTCAGAACTGATTATGTGCAAAAAAATATTAACTATAAGTTTAAGTTCATTCATACATGACCTTATTTGAAGCAGTGTATTTTCAGTCACTAGCAAAATTCATGTCAGTAAGATATTTTTGAAGTATTTTATTTTCCAGAGAATTCACTACTTTGAACTAGTTGTTCCAGTGATTAGCCTGAATTTCAGTGGAAACCTAACTCTTAACTGAAAACATGCTTCTGAAAATAAGGCAACTTTTCTACAATCTGTTTATGAACAGAAAAAAAAAATCTTTGGTTTTAGTTAAATTAGCAGGAAGGATTTTGCAAAAAAGAAATACTAAAGAACCAAAGCAACGAAAAGGCTCTTAATAAGCAATGGGAAACTCCAAACCCCATCAAGGTCAATAGAGTACCTAAGGCACCTCAGGTTCAGATGATACAATCATCTTTGCTTAGAGCTCTAATCATCTATATACAGGATTTCTACCATCCTAAGAACATGAAGCCGAAAAGGTAATGTCCAACAATGATTACTGTAAGAAAGAAGAAAATCCTAAGAGTTGATAAATGGGAGAGATTAGAGATCATCTCCTCTACGTCCCAGATGAGGAAAATGAGGCCCAGTCAAGAAACAGAGGTGACACCAGAGTCCTAGTCCATTTCTCTTAGGGCAGGACAAATTCTAGATTTTAACTTTATTGGCTAGGAAACCAAGTGTGAAGAGTTTCAGAGATGTGAATTTGAGGAAGAAAAAAAAAAAATTCCCATCAAATCCCCAAAGGCAAGTTGGAAATAAATGTATAATACTTTACTGTCTTAATTCCTTTATACCATGTGTTGGACAACTTAGCTCATATACTAATTGAGTTATACAGTTCTTTTCAATTCTATCTAAAAATAGCAGACCAAAATTAAATGAGAAAGTTACATCAGATTCCATTTGAGCATACATAAGGCCATGGTACTTAATGCGAACCACCACTTCTTGGGAGAAAGAAGACATCCACTGTCCAGTTCAGGAGAGAAAGCTCCTGACCAGTTATCTAGTAGACTCTCCGCACGTCAATGGGGAAGATGATGCTTATATTTTTAAAAAAATCTCTACAAAGCTCACACAAAAGACAGTACATCCTAGATTTGTGACTGCTATGAGCATTTAAGGCTGTCATTTTCAAGTATCAAAGTTTAGTGTTCCATTACCCAATCTGTGCAATAGACATAGCTATAAGCTCACGTCATGGAAATTAACAGAAGCTCACCAAAGACATAAAGAAATCATAATTTAGGCAACAGCATTTTTAAATGTAGGAAAGGCTGGGAAAAATTTTATGGATTAGGTTATGCTTCTCTGAACTGCATTAGTTTGTTCACACTGACTGAAACTTTGTCTAACGCTATTGTCTGTTGCATGGCATCTGGAATAAGGTAGATCAACAGCAGACCAAACGAGAAAGCTTAATTAGGTAACAGAACTAGTCATTAAGATGGTTCACCTCTACCACAGTTATACAGTCTGTTGCCCTAGAGAAAGATTAGAAATGGCTCCAGTATACCAAATAAGCTTCATAGATAAACATGAGAAAATTTTTTTAAAGCAGGACCTTTCAAAACCTAGGGACTACCATGCACTGCTCGAGGATGAAATAAGTCAACATTATTTACTTCTGGCTTGACGTAATATTGTGAAATGTAATATGGCTGGAGAAAATGGGTATTTGGAAGCCAGTATGTCATTTAACTTATACTCTAGGTGTGTACATAAGCTGTGGTTCTGTAACTTCTACTGTGGTTCCAATATCTATATCTGAAAGGTGAAATCAGTTTTATTATGAAAGCAGTTGCTTTGTTATAAACTCCATGTAACATGCTTGAATTCTAGGTCTTTTCAACACAATTTAAAGTTTCTTGTGGTTTGGTCAGCATACACCCTTTTCGTTTCATTTGATATACAAGCCAATGTGGAAATTAGAAAAACAAAACTACCAACTAGTTCAGAGAGCTAAATTGAGTCCAGGATTATGGCAAAGTCTGACCCAAAGTTTTAATTTGTAATTTCAGCATGTAACTCATGCAGTTTGGGGAGCATCAAACTAAATCTACAATTGCCAGAAACCTTTGTTACAGTTGAATGCACATTAACTAAAATGTGTACATTTTTAGTGTTCATGATAAATGCAGATATGACCTTATTACACTTTTGGCATTCTTTGAGAAAGCACATTAAGCTTTAATATAGAAATATTTAGGTTACACTTGTGCTCAAGTAATAATAAAACATTTTGTTCTTTTCGACCTCATACATTCTCTCCTCAGGAATGGCCCATCTCCTGCACGCTTGGA